TGCAAGTACGACGCACTTTAGAAACGCTCGATGAGGCGTACTTTATCGAGTGCTCCCTAGATCGGGGCACTCACTGTGCACAGTTGTGTCCTTTGATATCCCACCAATCGCAGACGCCTCACCAGGTTTTATGCCTTGAATATTAACGTTAACGTGCGTCTACCGGGTATTTGAGGGCCCGTCGCCTTCCCTAATACCAGTATACACGACTGTAGGTGGACGGACGAAAGCTTCCGAACGTGTCCGTCGCCACTAGGGTACCCTTGGTCGCCAACACAACGTGTCCTTGATGAAATACCGAAATTCAAAAAGTATAAGCTTGGACTCGTGCGGGGGGAATGATAATTTTAACGTGAAAAGTGGGTCAATTTGCCCTTGAGAGGGATGTCCGTGCGGGGAGGGTGAACGTGAAAACGTGACTCCAAAGTGATCATGTTGACTGTTTTATTCCACATTCCGCTCACGAAACGAGGCCTATATTGTATGAATTACGATATACCACTTGTGCTTGTACGCAGAACATCGATACCGACGATAGTTAAACAAGAATGACTTCGCCACCGCTCTCGTCGTCGCTCGATGGAACGAGCGCTTGGTCGACGATTGCGCGCGCTTGAGCCGCTTGCTGGCGAGTGGTGCGCTGGGCCTTGGCCTTAATAATCAAGACGACGACGATCGCAAGTGCAAGACAACATGCTACGGAAATGACGAGGATCATCGTTGCATGGGTGGCCGTTGGTGTCGTCGGTGCAGCAGTCGTGTCGATCGGGCGAGAGGCAAATTTGTCAACGACACGGGGAGCCTCGCCACCGACCGGGAGCACGCAAGCGTAGTAGCTACCCGAGCTGCTGTCCACGACGGAAGCAATGATGCTGCACGAGGTGTCGGACGACAAGATGCAACCGACGCTGGACACGTAGCTCGGTAGAAAGGGAGTGCAGTCTGCGATGGCAACGTCGCCGGCGCGCGGACAGCGAGTGCCGTGGACGCCGCAGATATTGCCTTCCACGGCATACGTGGCATCCCCGAGGACGTGCACGGATGTCGTCAATGTGTTTTCGAGACGACTCATGGTCGAGTTCATGATACGAGGGCGAGCTGGTTCTGTAGCCGAGTGGTTGGAGGCGGCTTCGAGTCCCACTAGAGCGACGACAATGAGCAGTCTACGAAGCTGCATCGTGTGCTTTTGCTCAAAGAAAATGATTTCTTCTCCTGACGCGACCATCATCGATCAAGTTGGCGGAACGGATTGCGTCAACCAAGCGATCGCCCGGCAGAGACATGCATCGTGAATTCGTTTGGTGTTGAGGCATCAATACAGCACGATACAAAAGCTAAAGAATACAAGCCAAGCAAGGACGACCACTCGTACTCTAGATTCAAAGGCGACAACCTTCTACGGAGCCTACTGCGATCGTTTCTTGCACAGCACACCAACGGACTAGGTGGCTGTTTGATGGAACTGTGCCGATGGAAACAGAAGATATCAATGACCAGCAGATCGCAACACTCGACCTGGTTTTGTCGAGTGCTGCAAAACAAGCGCGAGCGGTTTTGTTGTGGGTGCAGATCTGTCAACGCTACTGGGTGAGTAGCCACCGACGCCCATGATGCAGCATATAGGATCTTAGCGCGAACGAGTGCCCATGATAGAGGGGATTGATTGACGTTAGCCGACCAGCGTGGCAATGGCAGAGCTCAAGCAGTCGATCAAACAAGAGAACGAGTCATTCACAGGTACCTCCAAGCGACAAAGTTGGGTTCTTTGCCCTTGTAACGGACAGCGTTCGGATCGCATTGCGATCTTTCTTGGACGGTGTCGCCTAGGTCGGTCGTTGCGATTCCAGCCAATCCACGCGCAGTGGTTTCCCTTGCCTGTCCTGTGATTGGCCTGCGCAAAAGATGCGACATCACAAGCGATGTGATTGGCTTCCACCAAAGATTCCTAGTCCGAGCGATCTTCCTGCAAACGCGGTGGCATTTCATTTTCATTTCCCATTTTCGCTCGACCTTCGCAGCAGCACCATCATGTTCTCGAAGAAGTCGATCATCGTCTGCGTCTGCGCCGTCATCCTCGCCCTCCACGCCGACGCGGCGCCCGTCGGCGCCCACGCCCTGCGTCACAACCGCGCGGCCCATGCGCAGCCCAAGCACGCCATGCACGCCAACGTCAAGAAGGCAGCCAAGGTGACCAAGGCCGCCAAGAAGCGCGCCTTCCGCAAGAGCGCCAAGCAGGTGGCAGAGTGCGACGGCACACAAGTCAGTGTCCTCGGCGACGCCACGTACTGCATCCAAGGCGACGTGTGCTCGGGCGAATCGAACGCTGGCGCGTGTCCCACCAAGAGCTCTGCGCCGTTTGCCGACTGTGTGCCAGGCATCCCGTCGTTTGATCCGTTGACGCTGTCGTGCTCGCTGCCGGCCGACGCGGTCTGCTCAGACCTTGGCAACGGCGCCTTTGGCTGTGTCTTGACCACAGAGGATGGCGTTATCGCCGATCTTCCGACGGAAGCCCCCACCGATGCCCCTACGGACGCTCCCACGGACGCCGAAACCGATGCCCCCACCGACGCCCCGACTGACGCCCCGACCGAGCTGACGGCGAGTGCCAACGAAGACGCGGCGACGTCTGAGACGCGCACGGAGGAGCCGACTGAAGCCACCACCGACGCCCCCACCGACGCTCCCACCGACGCGCCGACGACGGCTTCGACCGAGTCGGACGAGGTCACTGATGCTCCCACGGATGTCGAAACTGATGCTCCTACGGACGATGCTACGGACGCCCCGACTACCGCCGCGACCGAGTCGGACGAGGTCACTGATGCTCCCACTGACGCCGAAACCGATGCGCCCACGGACGCCCCGACTGACGCCCCCACGGATGCCCCGGCGGCTGTGTCGAACTTTGCTTCGGTCCAAAGCGCCGGCGCGGCGTCCGCCAGCGTCGGTGTCGTGAACATTGCTGCTGCTGCAGTCGCCTGCGCGGCGCTTGTCGTGGCGATCGCGGCGGCGGTGCTTGCGACCAAGAAGAGCCGCGCGCCGGCGGTGGCCTCGGTCTTGCAGGACGAGGCTGTCGACGAGGTCACGGCTGTCAAGGCGCAGGACGACGATGTGGCCGTCGAGGTGTTGGAGTGCTAAGTGCATCTGCCACTGTGCCGCGCGT